TGTGCCTTTTCTATTTCTGTCTTTAGCGGCTCCCAGTACCCATATACTGGGTGGCGTTGCTGGTATTAATACTTAAAGTGGTTCTCACCCCCGCTCCTCGGAGCTTACGTCACTCACATTTCCTGTTCAAATCTTCCTCTAAATGGGCGTAGCCTGGAGGACTAAAGGGGGCGTGAACGAGACTGGGCCGTTTACATTGCTCTGGGCGGGGGGCTGCTGACGTCAGGTCTTGCTTCAGACGTCAGGTCTTGCTGCCGCGCCAGTGTTGGCGCCAGATTCAAAATTCAAATGTAGTAATACAGGTCGCCAGCAGATGGCGCCTCACAGACGGTTTTAGGCAGAAAGTTTAACTTTCAACTAATTTGCACCAAAGTGACAAAGTTATGACCAGGATATGTGGACAACACTATTGGACACTCATTTATACTGTTTATCAGAAAAAAAGTGGATTTGAGGGCGAGTTGTCCTTTAATTAGGCCAAATTTCCGAATTCATAGACTCGACTATTACATATAGTACTGTCTATGGTCCTGTCTTGTCACGTCAGCTTCACTTGTCAAGTCAGTGTCTGTGTACTGCCACAGCGCCAATGCTACCATCACCAACCTCCAAACTCGAAGCTTACACAGTGGGGGCAGGTCCCGGTGTTCTGTCGAGTTGGTCTGCCCCTACTCTTACTCTTAAAACACACATATCACAACGCGGAACCATCAACATCTCGCCTCAAATTGCATTAAAAGTGACATTCGTGTCTTAACTTGTTTGTATTTGACTTTTAAAGCAATTTGCAGACTACATGTCCGCCATCTTGGATTGCTTCGGCTGCCGTGAGACGCGCATGGGCAGGTTTGCATTGCATCATTAACAGCTGAGCCAGATCATTTCGACGGGCAGACTAACTCGACAGAACACCTGTTCAAAAGTGGCCAAAATGACGTGCGCTGACATGCTTGCAATACCACCCCGGGCTGATGGGGGAGGACCTGGAATAAGAATTAGCCAATGCTAACATATAGCATCTCCTATCCTCTCAAAAACACCTTTACAGGATGGTTCAAAAGTTGGCTCTTGGCCCAAAGCTCCATTCCACATATGTGACAATGCTGAGGGGAGTGAATTTTTTTGGACGACTCTAATTTAGTCGCTGTGAATTTTTGAAGTCACTCGTTTAAATTAATGGGCTCGTACTGGCTGACACACGCGCAGATGCGTTTTTTCACATTTTCCAGCCCCCGTGGCCATTTTTAATCACTCCATACATGCATTAAGAGCATAGACTGTATATATTAATGGACAGAGTCACGCCTATCTCCACCGTTCTAATGGGCCAAAAATGTGCTCTACTGGAGCTATCCAAAATGGCCGCGAGTGGTCCCGCCCACAAGAAAATTGTGAAAAAACGCATCTGCGCAGCTTCATTCATTTGAACGAGAGACTTCACAGCAAGTAAACCAGAGTGGACCAAAAAATTCACCCCCATCAGCATTGACACACATGTGGAACGGAGCTTTGAGCAAAGAGCCAACTTTTGGACCATCAAGTATCTGGACTTTAAAAGGTTATAACTCAAAAACAAAAATTACTATCATAGATTAGAAAAAAGATTTCAAGCACAGACAGATCAGAGATGGTGTGGATAAAATCAAAGGAAAGATTGACAAATATATTTTTGGCGACATTTTAAACGACCAAATCAGCCTCTGATTGGACCATTCTACTGTGACGCCAGTTACATAGAAAATAACATTTCATCAGTCTGAAAAAGCCTGAAGCTCTTTTTGTCTGAAGCCCCCACTGAAAGATCTCAGCTCCTGTGGACTCACCACCTGCAGGAGGATCAGTGAGGGGCTGGTGCTCTGTGGACTGGGTGCAGCTCTGGCCACCCCCCCAACCCAGAAATGGATTAAGGGGAAGAAAATGGATGGATGGATGGACAGTCTGAAAAAGCAGCAGATGAAATCCCACAAGATTTACATGGTTAACACAACATCAGGAAATCACTTGATATAAAAAGGAATTGTTAAAAACATAAATGACCCTTGAAAAATGTGTAACGGACGTGATGGTTTCCGTCCATTTTTCTCTAACAATTAAACTTGAGAAAAAAATATCTGGTCTGGTTTCACATTTAACTCATTGACTGCTAGCCATTTTTGAAGATTTCACTGATTTTCAAGACCCACAAAATATTGTGTGCTATGCCTATGTGAAATACGAAACCAGATTCTGAAAGACTGGACTGTCTACTTTCATCAGCAAAAAATAAGTGTGTTTCTCGCTAGTTTTGTTCTTCTGTTATCCCCAGTCGAATAGAGGGAAGTTTGACAGAAATCACCGGTCTCAGACAAACACGTCAATGGCAGTCAATGAGTTAATTGGTTGACTGTATGAAATTATCACTTTGTTTCTACTCTATGTAAAAAAATATAGAATCTCTGAATCAAATGTGGACCTCTAAAAATACGTAACAAACTTCTCATTCCGTCAAATCATCATCGTCCGTTACATAAAATAAAACAGGGCCACTATAGGAAACTTGTCTAATGTATAAAACACTTTAGTTCTAGCAACTTCTAATGAACAGAGGAGGTGTTTGGAAACATGAAAAACATTAAATATCTTTGGATTATTAAAATCAAATTTTTTGCCTTTTGTCACACTTTTGTGCCCTTTAGTGTGAACAAGCCCATATGAAAATACTCTCTGGAATTGTTCAGGGGGGCCGGAGCAAATGTAGAGGGGGGCCGGGACATAGCTGTCATTAGCTAGCTAATGCTAACCTAGCCTAGCTAAAGGCGACCTCATCACGCTAACCTACCAAATCCATGGATTTGTGGTCAAAGCTCTTCAGAACCACAGCTATGGTGAGTTTATTTATGTGCTGAAAATCGCGGACTTCTGGTGGTTAACCCTGGATTGTTGTCGGCCTTGAATGTGCACATGCTCGACCAAACACGTGCACATATTCGTAAAAAAAAAAAGTAAAATGTTGATGTAAGGGATGTAAAATGATAATAAGAAATGCACCCATACATACTGGAATCTGCAGATGATCCACTTCATGGCCAAAAATGTTTGATTTTCCATGTAGATGCATTAACCTATGGCAACATTTCTTATCAGACACTTTGCCAAACATTACTAGTGCGATTGTAGGCTATTGATCTGTGTGCATATAATAATCGGTGTTGGATTTCACAAGAATTGATTAGGTAATACAAGATTGCCCCACATTTGTTCAATTGGAGGGCTAACATATAGTTAACAAGATCAATTTTATTTTATCTATTTGAGAAGATTTTCACTGTCTTCAAGCAGATTTGGAAACGGAACAAGCAAGCAATGTATCTTTTGATCCTCAAGTCAACATTGTGTTTTCCTAATTTAAAAGTGTTTTAGTCAAACATCTGTCCCAGACATCCAGGCCTTGAAGATTAGACATATGCGGTGTTGTGGACTAACGCACACTAATACTCTTTCTGAGCAACCATTACAGTTACTACTTTAAGATCTAGTATTTAGAATCACGAGAATACATACTTTCTCATATACTTTTACATTTACATTTCAAAGTGAAAAAAAATAAAATTGCATATAAGATAAAAAAAAATAAACAAATGATTGAATAATTCCTAGAACATATTTTATTTATTGGAACATTTATTGATACACGTACTATTATTTATAGGTATTATAAATCAACAAGAAATTAATTAATTTCCCCTGCTGAAGAAAGCAACAGAGCAAAGTAATAAATACAAATATTAGAAAACTAGAACAAAATTATAATATGATCAATTAATCTAATCTAATCCAAGTATTGGAGTATTTCGTGTCGGAATACAAAATACATAATACGAGTGCTTCCCAAAACGCCTGGACCTGATGGTGAAATTGAGCAAAGCCCAGGAGCTGCTTGTGCTATGGGGGAAGCGTGAAAACTGACTTTTTGTGTCCTACCGTGAAAAAACTGTCCCATGAAGAAATCCACCTGAAAAGGAATCTGTTGGAGACCCACAACAGATTCATGAAACTTGTGGTGTTTATTGTAAGCAAACAAATGAACAGCCCCTCCATGCAATCGGCCACTTTTGTTGTCTGTTTGCAGGGATTCAATTCTCCCAAAATCTCCATAATGGCACAAAGAACAAGGTATTAAATGGTTTATTTTTGTAATAAAGATTTAGCTGCTTTGCTCTGACCCAAGGCAGAGGCCACGGCCCTCGTCACAAAGCTTCCACGACATCACAAACAGGGCATGTGCAGCCCAAACAAAGAATAAACAGTGCTGGATCCAAGTCTTCTCCAACTCTGTGCTGTATATGTGCATGCAGTAACTTTAGTATTAAGTTTGAACACAGAAGTATTATTTCTGGAGCAGAGGAGGGCGTTGAGGCATCAGCGCAGCGGCTGTCAACAACAGTCTAAGAGAAAGGAACTCGCTGTTATAAACACTGTCATTTTCCCTGCACGTTTATCAACTTAAGTGCACCAAATGTAAATGAGGAAAAGCCAAAGCATGTGGGAGAGTTAATGCCACTGTTTATGCATCATGCACTCCCTTTGTCCCAGAAGCAGGTGTTGTTTCTATAGTTGTTCCTCGGCACTTTTCAGGAAACTACTGTATGTGTGAATAGGCCATAAGACTTCACCTTTTCGACTGTGGTGAGGGGGTTTGATTTGATACTTTGATCCAGTGGCTTTTGTCCCCTCAGTTAATGTGTAAACACGTATAGAGCACACAGACCTTTGAAACTTGGATTTCCCGTTTACTGGAGATTTATTGCAAAATACCAATGAACAAACAAACAAAAGACGATATGAGGGGCTGGAGTATGAGTTGCAAACTGAATCAAAACCTGATTTGGGACACGTGAGCATCTAACCCAGAAACCAAAGTAAATGCAAGTTTGTAACGGTGTCAACAAGGAACAATCAGGACATTAAAGGGATCTGTACAGGGAGTGGAGCAGGTCTCAAGCCTCGGTCATCCCTGCAGAATGCCTCCGGTGTTGCTCAAGCTCTCGATGCTGCTCTTCTTTGGGTGGTTGTGCAGTGAGACAAAAGCACAGGACCGAACGTGAGTCTGAATTTGAGATACAGCTAAGTATCGCAATCAAATTAAAAACTCAATTTGAATAGTGTTTATTTTTTTCTATTGAACAAAAAAAACGCTTATTGCTTTTAATTTTCTGCTAACTAAACACAGAGCTGTACAACATTGACCACAACAGCTTCATGCTTCTATCCTTCAAAGATTGTTCTCGATTATGTCTAAATCTGTTTCAGTCAGAACTTCCCCCAAATCATGTTTTATCACACATCACAAAGCTTTGTATAAGACCACAATGTCTCAAAATGGTCTCACATGGCTGTCTCTGTGTTATAGGTTTGTGGTGGTGGCTCCTCTCTCCTTCAGGCTGGATGCCATGGAGAGGGTGGTGGTGCAGGTGTTTGGCTTCACAGAAACCGTACCTGTGTCCGTGTTTGTGAGGAAGAGCATGGCCGACCCTCCCATACAGCAGCAGGAGGTCGTCCTCACGGCCGCCAACCACCACATGGGGGAAGCGCAGATACGGGTCTGCGCCGCACTCAGCCTCTATACACATTCTAAAAGTGCACTCCAACTTTTTACTGTCATTTTTAATTTTGTTTTGAGAGGTTTGGACATAGGTTTGTTTAGCCATGTTGCTAATTTAATTCACACATGTTAACTTAAGCCATGCTTCTAAGTTTGTTAATACACTTTTGAAGAGATTAGCTATGCTTTGAGGTTCAGTAATTTTCCATTGGGATGACAAATACATACAATCAGCATAATAAACAGTTGATTCAAGAATTCTATTCCTCGAAGGTTTTGCAAGGGATAGTTTGTGATATTTCATTCTTTTAGAAAACCAGGTCAACATGTTCAAATCATGTGACCTTTCCATTTTATAGTTTTCAAATAAATGATCCAATCCGACAGCAGACTCTTATTTGGTTTCCAGTTTATTGGGTGATTTTTACCTGGTATTGGCACCAGTATTTAAAAAAAAAAAAAAATTCACAAATAGAGCTCCATACATAATTTTTGGAAATGGAAATAGGTGCAGAAAAGTAGTCATATGTTTGTACTGTACTGTTTCTAGCTAAACCCCAGAAGGTGGATTGCATCTGTAATCAGTGCTTAGGAGCTTCCTGTGTCACAGGCAGGAGGATTCTGACAACAAAGTTGAATAGTTGTGATGACTTTATTATACCACTAATTGTGCATTTTACATGTGGTCCCTTTTATATAATTTTGCTGCTGCAAGCTTTCATTGCCTTATTTTGTGTCAATATGAAATGTTGCTATTTCTGAAATCCTAGATATGTCTAAGATTGAGAAGACTCTATAATAGAAATATGATGCTTTAAATAAAACTTTTTACTTGCATTTCATGTTCATAATGTTTCATTAGAAACTAAAAGGCTGTATATATTAGAGAAAGATTCTCAGCATTTTCAACATTATGAGTTGCAAAAATATATTGCCAAAACTAATTGTGAGGCAATGCTTTAGTTCTAAAAGGCAGAAGAGGGCTCTGAACATTACATCACAGTGTAAAGATTCCAAAGGTCAGACACCTAATCAAAAGTGTTACTTCAGTACATGTAGTGGTCATTTGATTGTCCCCCCTCCCTCATAAACTGTGTCCACTGCAGCTGTTCCCGAAGGATGTGGACGACAGTATGGACCATGTGATCCTCCACGTCCGATCAGGGAGCTTCAACCAGCACGTGTCTGTCCGTCTGAGCCGCACCAATGGTTTCCTCCTTGTGCAGACTGACAAGCCTTTGTACACGCCCAGGCAACCAGGTGAAGACTACTGCTGCAGCTACTGCGACTGATTCTGCGACTGCTACTTCTGCTGCTGCTACTATCACTACCACTGTACACACCTCAGTAACCAGGTGATTAGCACTGCTACTACTGTATGTGCCCCACCAACCGGGTGACTTACTACTACTTATACTACTGCTTCTGCTACTGCTATTTATTTTACTCTAAACATCCCAGTAACCAGCTTACTATTATTAAAACAAATTCTACTGGTATTTAGTTATGCTATCTGTTATTCAATTTGATACAATAATTGCATGTGTCCACAGTGAAGGTGAGGGCCTTCTCTCTGAACCAGGAGCTGAGACCGGCTGACCGCAGCGTCTTCCTCACATTTAGGGTGAGTGTGCTTTTTACAGTCCTCTCATATGTATGCATACTAAGGCACATGCACAACCTAAAGCCCGGTTAAAGTAGGCCTAGACCCAAATAGCGATTAGATCCGGGCTTTAGGGGCTATGTGACCGCGACAAGTGGGCTTGGGCATGGTTGCTGCAATCGTGCTTGGGCACGGTTGAGAGAGATGGGCCTGAGCACGCTTCTAAAGCCCAGATGAGGTGGCTGAATGTGGCGGGTGGTGGATGGGGGATGAGGTGTGGTGGGGTTGTGATATTGTGTGTCACACTTCCTGCTGCGCCTGCTGTGACGTGCATTTTTGCACACGTCGCATACTTTCGTACTCTCTGCTTGTGTTAAACTTTTCATGTGAGCCCCTGGACCGTAGGGAAGCGTTTTCTACTGGGAGAACTCCCTTCTGTCCTGACCCTCGCTGTCACAGTATGCTGCTTTTACAATAACACGTTCAATAAGACTTTATTTTGTGGCCTGAACACAGCAACATTCACTTGTATCTTGACTGACTCCAGTCCCACTGCTCGTACGCCACATTTAATTCTTTCATTCTCATTCATTCATTTAGCTGCGCTTACGCTCTTTTCTCCATGGCACGCTCCTGCGTCCGCCACGCGCTCACACACACACATACATACACACACACACGTTTCCCACTAATCTGCTGCACATTGGAGAAAGACACATGTCACACTTGATACAAAGAACACGATCCATGCTCAAACTGTTGGCCAGATGTTGCAAATTTATTCATATTTTAATTTTTTCATACTGTGATATAATGTTTTGGCCTTATTGCCCTGCCCTACTCCAGACTAACATTTATGTATGTTAGTGTGAACGTTTTCATTCAGATGCATCAGCATTGGTTTTAGGAGCCTACAGTAATTCTTAACACACAGTATTTAGGTATTTTCACAGTTTATTACAAAGATTTTAAATAGGTATTGTAAAATGTACAATATTAATAAACCGCATTTAAACTTTATTTGATGAAGTCCTTTGATGGACAGACAGCTGGACAAAAAAACAAAAAACAAAAACAGGTGCACTTGTACACATGATGTTTGGTGCACAGCGACCAAAAATGGCTACAACTATGTTCAAAAACAAAGTTATTTAAGTTACTTTCTTCATCTTGCTTCACAAAACAGTGTATTTATCTTTCAGGACCCAGACTATGAGAAGGTGGATGTGGTGGAGGTGAAGGATGTCAGTAATGGCATGCCATCACTGCAGAACCCCTTCAAGGTCCCCATCAATCCCAAGTACTGCCTCACATCATTTCAAAAAACATGATTTCAGTGTGTTCACTATTGCAAATGCATTCTGACTGCAGGCTGGGAATATGGACCATTGAGGCGTCATACATGGAGCACTTTGATACAAGAGCCAGAACCACGTTTGAAGTCCGAGAATACGGTCAGCACTAACAGAAACACTCACACTCACATACCAAGGAAACTGGCAGCCTGCAGGCCGAATCACACATCTTCTGATTCAATTTAAATTTTAGGAAGTGGAAGCAAAGTGCTTTAAATGTTATAGTAAAGTATTATTGTAACTAGAGTTATGTCCTGACTTTGAATATTGTTAGCTTTTGAGAATGATCAATTTATTTGATCATTCTCTAAAGTGGATAGCACTCTCGCCTGTCAGCAAGAAGGTCCTGGGTTCGAATCCCGGTCGGACCAGGGCCTTTCTGAGTGGAGTTTGCATGTTCTCCCCGTGTCTGCGTAGGTTTCCTCCGGGTACTCCGGTTTCCCCTACCACTAAAAATATGTCCAATGGTTCTAGCATGCGCCTCCTGTACTGGCAACCCCGCTCCCATCTCTGTGTGGAGTGAGAGACAAATGCCCAAAATTAACAATTGTAAACCGCTTTGAGACTCAGATCTGCAGTGAAAAGGCGGTATATAAATAAAAGATTACTTACTTATTTGTTTTGATTGTGTGGATGGATGTGTTTTTGCTGCTACTGGACACCTGAATTTCATTTACGGGGATGAATAAAAATATCTATCTATCTATCTTAACTAAGGATAATTGTCATGCTATTGTTGGCCAATGTTTTTGTATGATGTGCCGCTTACACAAGCGCACGCGTCTCTTTTCTCCCCTTTAAGGAAATGTCCGTCAGCTTACACACAAAGTTGCAAGGCACAATAAAATGTATTTGTCTGTGTACACATAAAACGTAATAATAAAATTGTTTACTCTCCTTTCTGGTTAGTGCTGCCGAGTTTCACAATCCTGATCGAACCTGAACGCAACTACGTCAGCCACAACAATTTCAATCGCTTCCATATCAAAGTGTCGGCCAAGTGAGTACTGATTCCACTACAACATTCAGATTCAGATTCATCTGAAGCAAGTTTATTTGTCTAGCACAATTCAAACACAAGGCAACTCAAAGTGCTGAACAAAATAAGATGGCTTTAAAATCAAAAATAATCACAGTACATAAAAAAAATAAACATAAAATATAAAATACCTCAGTTGTAGCACAGCTTAAAGTGATTGTCTGGGGTTTATCAGAAAAAAGAGAGAGAGGTACATGAATTGAAAAAAAGGACCCAAGCTCCCTCCCCCTTCCTTTCTGATTGGTCTACACCTACGTTTCTGTAACAATCAATCAACACATTTAAATGTTAATCGGAGAACATTGAACATTATAGGACAAATCTGTAGAGGATCTGATTATGGATATAGGTTCAGTATATAAATGATTATGGATATAGGTTCAGTATATAAATGATTATGGATATAGGTTCAGTATATAAATGATTATGGATATAGGTTCAGTATATAAATGATTATGGATATAGGTTCAGTATATAAATTGGTAACTCAGCGCGGATGTTCAGAATTCTTTGTTCTGTTTTCATGTAGTTTCAGAGCCTAATAGAGGCTTGATTCAGAGGCTCCATGAAAACAAACAACTGAGCATGCGCGCCAATGATTGACAACCATAGGCATCACTTGATTGGTTAACGTGGACGGCATCATGGATTTTGAGCTATAGCTGAAAGAAGGGAAGGCGGGACTTACCCGTAACATTATAGCTCATAAAATTACTTATTTTACATCAACAAGTAAGGCCAGGAGGTCAATTTAATACAATTCTTAAAATTTGTAATTCATTTAGAGTTCCAGACTATCACTTTAACAGAACTGTTTTTAGCCTAGTTAAACATGGTCAGAGACTACTACTTCTACTATTCCATTGAGTTATTGAAAAAAATATTTTACTAAATCACAACAGCAGTTATCTTGAAGGACTTTAAAAACACTAATCAGAGAAACAGTTCCAACTCAGAATATTCAGTGCAACTTACGAATCAGAGCCGGGAGAGACAGTCCACAGATGAATGAGGCCGGATTCAGGCGTCCCATCATCACGTTATGTAACAGACAATGGGAGAGTGGGTGAATAGCAATGAACGCAATACAGCTGAATTCATAATGATAACAAAGGAGAGGATAGTTCTCAAGTTGCCATACTTTTCCCAGAAAAGTGTCTCCATAAGCAGCTTGACTGATTATCTGTGTTATTTAGACTGAAGTCTTACCTACCTAACCATATGCTAAATAAAAGAAGACTGTTTTAAGCCTGGCATTGAAGAGATGGTGTCTGCTTCCTTGACGTGGATGGAGAGCTGATACCACTGAATAGAAGCTTGCTAGTGTTGTATCTTCTCATCAGCAGAAGATGGGTTTCCCGCACAAACCAGTATAGTTGTTGGAGAAGGAATGCACTCTGAGTTATGTATTAAAGAAAGAGTTTAATGACATAATCAGAATACATCAAGTCCAATTCAGGCTTAGCGCTTTCAGCCTGGGTCAGCTCCGAGAATGAAGATGGCATGACTGACCCCTAACACACAGAGGACTAGGATATTATAGTCTAGTTGAAGAAGTCATAAGACACGGTCACAAGATCCAGAAAAAGCAAACCATACATTAAGGACAGCCATGTACATTGTCCTAACATTAGTGCTGCTCACATGTCTGCCTCATGACTGAGAAAGGGATCATTAGAGTCAGCTGCTTCTACCATTTGACCCAAATGTTCCCAACACATTTCGAAGATACATGCTGTATCTGTAGAAGTTATAATAGCAGACACTACACTAGCTAAATGCTCTGCCTCGGACTGTGCTGACATTATACCGTCAAAACTACTAACTGAATAACGTACTACTAAGGCTACGTTTAAAATGAGTAGCTTCATTGAGATTAGGGTTTGTCCATTGTGCATTGTTTCACTTTCTTGGCTCTTCCCCCCTTCTCTCCTCAGGTATCTTCATGGGGCCCCTGTGGCTGAGGGGGAGATGTTTCTACGTTACGGTTACGTGAGTCTGTCGTCCCCAGTAATCATCCCCAGCTCCATCACACAACAGCAAGTAAGATGCTTTGTTTTGCATATTCCTGGAAAGGAGTACAATTTTCACTGGGAAGAAAAATAAATTTAATCAGTAAATACAGTGAAATAATCTTGTGTGAAACTGTTGTTGACCAAATGTTATGTTTCAGACAAATGGGTCTGATATGAATCTAAGACTTGTGATCAAGTAGAATGCACGTTCCCATTGTTACTCACAAATTTGGATGAGAAAAGAGACAAATGCTGAATAAAACAATAATCCAAAATCCATAATCTTAATTTCTTATTTTAACTCACTTGCACTGTGTGAATGCTCATTGTTTTATATTCCGTATTCTCTCCACATCTTGCGATGTGACATTCCCAAATCTTAAGAATGTATGCAGTGGGTCCTTGGCGTGAAGTCTGTAATAGCCACTTGCGTTGTCCAGCTGTCGTCTACAGGAGAGTGGGAGGCCTCTGTGAACCTGCAGGATATCTTCTCCAGACACAGTGACCACAGGACTCTGGCCGAGCTGAAGGACACGTACCTGTACATCGCTGTGCTGCTCCGGGAAGTAAACGGTAAGACTCTTTCAGTGCTTTAAGTGGGACAGTACGCGCCGGTACGCAGAACCGGCACAAAGTACCGACAACTTAAAAAAGCGTACAGCCACCTGTACTTTCGCCGCACAGGTACTTACAGTGACCGGTATGCTCATTTGCACATCTGTTTTAATTATTTGGCTGCTCTGCTGCCTTTCAGAGCGCCCTTCAGCATGCACGCTTACTTTGTCTCACCGTTAGCAGAGACTACATTACCCATAAGTTTTACGAGGGGAAGGCGCGTGCGTCACTTTTGCCGCTGTGAACAACCCAAGATAGAGTTCAGATCCTCTGTTAAAATACTATGAGCCCTCACAGCCCGTACACGCCGGGAGTGCAGCAAGTGAGAGCAGCTCTCCTCACACCTGCAGAGCGCAGAGACGCATAGACTGATGCTCTCACTGTGCGTGTTGCATACATTCCTCGCTGGTAGAACGGGCGTGCATTTCATGCGGTGTGTACGGGCTGTTACGGCTATTACAGAGGACTCACTGACGCCCCATGAGTCAGAATGAGATCGCAGGCAAATGAAAGCAGCATTTGTGCTGCGGTCAAACTCTCGACACAAAAAAAGACTTACAAATCAGATCTTCCTTAAATGCAAGGACCACCATTGGATCAGTTTAATGCACAGATATGCAGACACGGGTGGCGCTGGGGAGAAGTGCACCTACAACCTGAGAAGCCCCAAGTGCAAGGAAAGTGGAGGCCAAAACATGCTTCCTTTTCTAGGTCAAATCATTTGCACAGTATTTCTCATTTGTCAGTAGCTCTTTTTAAAGCCCAAGCATATCCCTAAACAAATGTATATAATGAATACATTATTTTCTATAAGGTTGTCTGTTGACTGTTGTAAATAAAAGTCCTTCAGGGAAAGAAGTGCATTTCTTTGCATTACAAACATGCAACCATTTCACTGGCCATAAAAAACAGTTCTTTTGGGCCACTTAAAGCACTGGGCTGGGTACTGTTACACTATTGTCTGGGGCAAGTAGTATAAATTCCTTTCCTTTATGTCTTATATAACTTTTCATGCCCAATACTAAGTTGTAATTGTCATGAGATGTACATAGTTGTCTGCAGTTCTTTGACTTGTCTTTGTTGCAGGGGGCATCAGTCAGGAGGCAGAGCTCGGGTCAGTGAAGTTTGTTCAGAGTCCATTCACTCTTGGTCTGGTGTCCACTCCACTTTTCATCAAACCAGGACTACCCTACTATATACAGGTAATTCAGGACATCCCTGTGAGAAGGAATGTGAGGGAAACAAGTAGAACGTCAAGGACTTCACTAAGCCCTTTACAAACATACCCCTTTACCTGCGGTAGCTGGCTGTTTGTACATAGTCTTTTTTTGATTCAGAGATTATTCTTCCAGGGCCCGAGTGTTAACTCTGGCTAAGCTCCAGGGGGACACCTGGTGTGTGAAAATGGGTATCTAGATGTGGTATGCCTTGCAAAGTAGAAAAGCTAGCTCTGTATATCCTCCATCTCTGGTAGTCCTGACCAAGCCGAGCATCAACATCTGGAGATGGGTTCCCGGGCTCTGTACTACGTCGACCACTGCTCCTGACGTAAGCCTTATTGGCATCAGGATGGGTCAAATGCAGAGGATGAATTGCCCTACGGGGATTAATAAAGTGCACCTTTCACTTTACCTTTAAATGATCATTTATACAAAGTTATCTTTGGGCCCTGGGCAAGTGCCCATTTAACCTACCCCATTGTGATGGCTCTATAGCAGGTTTTTTGATTTGAGAGTTACTTTTACGCAACAGAAATTGCAGAGCGCTACTCTTTTTTTTTTTTAAGGCGTAATAAAATGTAATAACTGCAGAAAATTGTGGACATTTTATACAGTAAAATTGTTCATATCACTGTATAACTCTACAATTGAGAACTTAATGCAAATAAGTTAAAAAAGATTTACAATTACTTAAAATATAATCAATTAGGATTTTGTGCCAAATTTCTGAGTACTATGGGGAGCTACCTGAAAGGGGTTTGCCAGCTACTGGTAGCTTCCGAGCTGCAGGTTGGAGACCACTGCTCTATAGACCACATGAATGCTTGTTACTCGTGTGTTGCAGGTGCTGGTGAAGGACCACCAGGGGGCGCCAGTGAGTGGTGTGCTTGTTCAGTTGGAGAAAAAACAGATGCGCAGAAGAGGAGCTGGGCCCGAACTTTTCTGTTCAGAAACGGCCACGAGTGGGTCTGAGGGTATTGCTCTCATTGTCTGTAACATCCAGATGGACATACTCTCTATTGACCTGCAGGTACAGCACTGACCACTGACCACTGACTAATGACTAATGCCGGAAGTTCAGGGCTCACAAACGGAATATTAGGATTTTGTCTTTGGTCTTAACCAGTGTTTGTCTAATTTTTCATGGGTCTGAGCAAAAACGCTAACCCCCTGAGGAGCATGTGGAGCACTCGGAGCGAGAGATCACTGTTGAAAACTATTCACATTTCGATACACCTGCTGCAATTTAGTTACTTCAGTTTCAACCAACACTGATTTGGTACAATATCCTCCTGATCCTGATTCAGTTGCAGAGTCTTTTTTGATTATGAATTAAAGTAGATTTAGGAATATAACTGGTGAGTTGCACAAAAAATAAAAAATATTCAAAGAGGATTTAGCCCATTCATATTTATAATATAGACTAAGGGTGCCCAAACCTTTTGCTTCCAAGGGCCAAAGTAGAAATTTGCCAGTGGGCCGCAGGTCAAATACACCAATATTACACGTGAAACACAAATTGTTTATCAGTGCAAATCACAGCTGAATGACTGAAAACGATACAGTCTTAGTGAAGGGGAGGCTCAAGGGGAATATGCTGGTTTGAGGCGACAACAGTAAGGAAAGATTCCGTAGGTTATAATCATTTGTGTGTGCGCTCTGCAATGAAGAACAGACAAATATACAATGAGTAACTACATAGCAACAAGACATATACTATAATCATGTAACAGATGGTACAAATCACACATGGTACTTACTTTCTGGTCATAAACGCACACTGACACACAGGGAACAACGTGAATATGGAGGCTCAGGCAGCTGCGTGTTGCTCTGACAATAGCTAGTTGCTCTAAAGCGAAAGTACTTCAATATGCAAAACATAAACCTAACACTATGGGCGCACTTCTCTGCTTGGCTTTCCTATACTTTCCTATATAGCGCAAAAGGCTCATGGGGGGATCCGGTCATGGTGTGGATTTTTTGTTGTTTTGTACTTTTGGTTTGGTTTTAGTTTGACTTTGACGTCCTGTTTCCCGTGTCTTGATTGTCTGCCCCGCCCTGATGTGTTTCACCTGTGTCTGTGTCTATATGTACTGTACCCTGTGCTCCTCTCCTCTCGTGGCTAGTCCATTGTATTGTCAACGTCTGTCCTGTATTGTCTCGTCAAGTTCTGTCCTGTTCCTTTTGAGTTTTGAGTTTAGTTTTCACCTGGACTTTTATTTTATTAAATCATAATTTTTTTGCATTCCTGCTTTTTGAGTCCTCCTCATTTCCACTTCATGACAGATCCTCTTAAATTGATAAAACATAAAATTGCTCAAATAAAATTGCTCAAATAAAATTGCGTTGCGTTGAGTAGAAAAGGCGCTCTACAAACATAAAGGTGCCTTGCACCCATTTGTTTTGATAGTTATTTTTGTGAAATTGTATGTAACTTTTTTTAATCTGAAATTGTTTGTAACTTTGTGTAACGTTTGCAACCTCTTGACCAGGACTCCCTTTAAAAAGAGGTTCTTAATCTCAATGGGACTTTCCTGGTTAAATAAAGGCAAAAACAAATATAAAAAAATAAGTGCTAATAATTTTTATCCAGGAAATGAAAAACAATTGAAGAAGTAGATTTTGTAGATGTCCTCCCCTATTCCTAATGATGGGGTTCCTCCTGCCACCGTTACAGCAGATAACATGTTTTATAACGTCTGGTCCACAGTTCTCAACTAAGGATTCTACACTGCCAGCAGCGAGCCAAGCCTCTCTGTCCCTGAAGGCCCAGTCCTACGAGTCTCCAAACGCCCGTTTCCTCTACATTGATCCCACCCCGATCAGGAGCCCGGTGGGGACCTACGTACAGATCCCATTGTACTCTGTGGCCCCGCCCTACGTGTCTGTCAGGTCCCTCAACTACCTGGTAAATACAGACATCCACTCTCTAATTCTTTTCTCACACTACTGTAGTGGGGGCACTTCTACTTTTCAAAGCAAAAGTATAAACTAACATTTACCTGTACTTTTACCTTTTGGACTGCTAATAACACACTGATGCAAGAATAATATATGACTTAAGAATTTATCAAAATAAGACAATTCAAATGGAGAATAGTTTTTAATTAGTATTAAGAGAAATTAATTTACTTTAGTCCCGAAGTTCTGAAGGATGTAGTTCATGAAGTGTCCTGTCATTAAACTGATTGTATTTATATATATCCGATTAAGTCAAAAATAAATTAGCAGAATGAAATCAGTGAATAAAATGAGAGAATGAGTGAATACAAGAATGTGTTGAGTGTATCCAGAGTGTAGTGATCTTGGTAACACTTTATTATAATGCATGAGTTCATGATTTTCATCAACTCATGCATGAACTAATGCCTGATTTCATGATACATTCATGTATTACTAGATCATGAACTCTCAGGGACAAATATTATTACAGGGTTGGTTGGTTTATGGATGACTTCATCCCTGAATTAATGGTTAAACTACTGAAATGAATTTACATGAAAATCTTAAAGATTCATCCTAATCACGAGGAGCACATAAGAATACCATGAATTTACTTAAACAGCAATTATATGACAATAAAATGATAAACCTATCATGATCATGAGGATGATGCATGAACATGACTCATGGCAGAAATGTACTTGCAAATTATAGACGAGACAATGTGTAGGCAGCTGTCCAGTACTGGTAGGTGTTCGGAGAGTCCATGTAGCATGACTATCGATCGGCCTCAAAGAGATTCTGGCAAACCGTCCGGCGCCTCAGGAGGGGGAAGCAGTACTTTGCCAACACTGTGTACGGTGCGGGTGGGCGGTGGAAGGAATACTTCGAGGTTCTCCTCAATCCCTCCGTTCCGGAGACAGAAGCTGAGAATGTTGGGGCCTCCCTCCTTCTCTCTGGTCACCAAGGTGGTTGGCAGCCTCCTTGGTGGCAAGGCTCCGGGAGTGGATGAGATCCGTCCTGACTATCTTAAGTCTCTGGATGTTGTAGGACTGTCTTGGCTGATACGTCTCTGCAACATCGCGTGGCGATCGGGGGCGGTGCCAATGGAGTGGCAGACCGGGGTGGTGGTCCCTCTCTACCAGAAGGGGGACCGGAGGGTGTGTTCCAGTCATCGTGGGATCACACTCCTCAGCCTCCCCGGTAAGGTCTACTCTAAGGTACTGGAGAGGAGACTAAGACAGATGATCAAATCTCAGATCCAGGAGGAGCAGTGCGGTTTTCGTCCCGGCCGCGGAACACTGGACCAGCTCTACACTCTCCATCGGATACTCAAAAGTTCATGGGAGTTCGCCCAACCTGTCCACATGTGCGCTGTGGATCTGGAGAAGGCGTTCGACTGTGTTCCCCGGGGTGTCCTTTGGGGGGTTCTCCGGGGTCCTGGGTCCTCTGCTGAGGGCCGTCCGGCCCCTGTATGACCGGAGCCAGAGCTGCGTTCGCATCGCCGGCAGTAAGTCCTTTGTCACCAGTTCTGTTCACTGTCTTTATGAACAGAACTTCTTGCCGCAGCCAGGGGCCGGAGGGGGTCCGTTTCGGAGACCACACAATTTAATTTCTGCTGTTTGCGGACAATGTTGTCCTGTTGGATCCAACCAGGACCTGCAACATGCACTGGGACTGTTTGCAGCTGAGTGTGAAGCGGCTGGGATGAGAATCAGCACCTCCAAATCTGAGGCCATGGTTCTCGACCGGAAAAAGGTGCCTTGCCCTCTGCAGGTGCATTTTATTGTCATTTAATTACTGTTTCAGTAAATTCCTGGAATTCTTATGTGCTCCTTATGATCATGATGAATATTGAAGATTTTCGTGTAAATTCATTTCAGGAGTTCAACCATTTATTCAGGCATGAAGTCATCCATAAACCAACATGTAATAATGTTTGTCCCTGAGAGTTCATGATCTACTGTAGTAATGCATTAATGTATCATGAAATCAGGCATTAGTTCATGCATGAGTTGATGAAAATCATGCATGAACTCTGCAAAGTGTTACCATGATCTTTAAACATGCTTAAAGGTACGTGACGTTTTTACTCCCATCTGAAGTGGCACGCACTGCACTGTGGGAGAGTAAAACTACGATGTGTTGTTCCTTATGTGAACAACATAAGGATGTGACTGTAATGTGACTGTAATGTTATATAAGAACGAATAAATTAATGAATGAATGGTCAGAGGAGACCAAGACATTGCCTTGGGACATTGCCATGGGACACGGCCGCAGCAGAACTGTCGCTAAACTCTTTTTAGCTTTCACCAGGCGCTGCATCCGCATCACTTGGGTTGCCAACCGTTCCCTTAAAATACGGAATTGTCCCGTATTTTTTATATTTTAAATTGCTTTTACAGTAAATTGTCTTTACTGTAACATACATAAATAATGACTATATCTAACGACTACAACCTTTGTTTTCAGCATTTGTCTATTCTTTTGATTTTGTTTCTGCAAGGTTTGAATGTTTAGCACCGCCCCCAACTCGCTCACAGGCTTCTCATTTCCCCTACGCTCTCATACCACGGAGCCATCTAGTTTTATTTGCGATCTGATACATATGCAAACACTAGCATGAGCGCAACTTCTTGTAAGCTGTACAACAATCACTGATGAAATGGTACAAAAGCAACGCACTGCTAACAAAATTTATAGCTGAAAGATTACCGCATAGATAGTCTGAGGCGGTCCGCACCCACAGGTCTCTCCAGAGGATACTATGTAAGCTAGCTATGTTCACCCAGGCTTGATTTCTTCTTTGATAATTTTTTCGATTTAGTTCCCTCTTCTCTTCCTCACTGTTGCATCGTTTGGGCTGTTTTGCTGTGTCTGCAGTTAAAGCCAGAGGTGCTAATAGGCACTTTCTGCCTTCATTCTGGTCTTGTTTACCTGCACTGTAGAAGCTAGAGTTTAGTTTAGTTTATTAATTTATTTCAACAGGGACAATGTGCAAATACATTAATTAAAGATGCTTTGCACCAGATTTAGCTTGAGCTAGTTTCCATCTGCAGTCCCTGAGCAGGTGAGTCACAACACGCAGCCTCGTTCTGTGATTGGAGGAGACCTAGCGTCACGCCAAGTCTCTACTCAGCACTTTTTACGGCCTGAATTCATACACAAGCTGAATTAATCAGCTCAAGATTTCAATTAAATTACGGATTCTAATATTAAAATAAATAAAATAAAATTATAATTTTCTGGCTAGCCCACGTGAATTTAGTCTGCAGTACCATGGGTCCATTGTCCCTCTCATGGACATGTATTAGGGCTGTCAATATGATCGCGTTAACTCACGTTAATTACATTTTTCATTAATGCGTTAATAAAAAATTAACGCATGTCCGAATGACCCGCCCATGTATCCTATAATATCACTCAGAGCCGTGGACATATGCGTGTGTGAGATGGAAACAGAGCAGGTAGGCCCTCTGGGAATTCAAGTTTTAAAAGAATACGCGCGTGAGGCACTTGCTGTTGTTTGCTGTATGTACTGAAGTCTGCATCCTCCGCAGCCGCTCTGGTTGTTGTTAGCTGGCTGTGAGCCGCTGAAGCTGAACTATGGAGCCTCAGGAAGTGTCCGTGTCTCCTCCGTGTCTCCTCCTGAAACTCGCTAAATTAAAGCTGATGTACGTACATTTTCCCGATCATTAACAGCTCATGTTGGTTGTGCCCGAAAGTAAAAGGTGAGCAAATCAAACAGATTCAAGTACATTTGGTATGAATGACATTGTGTCATTACATTTGATGATCTCATTTAACTTCAATGGGAGTGGATTTGAAATGGAATGTTAAAAATGCGATTTATCGTGAGTTAACTCACCATTACTATGCAATTAATCAACTAAAACAATTTAATCATTTGACAGCCCTAACATTTATAAATCAATTTCTAACCCTATGACAAAAATTCAAAAACATGGTGGAGGTAGGTTTGTGTAAGCTCTCAGTTGTACAGGAATTAGTCAAAGCAAACATGTCATTTTTTTTTAGACATGCATGTCTAAAAAAAAATGTGTGCATATTTATTGGTATTTGAGAATAAAAATATTGTATTAATTCATTATTAAAATAATACAAACTAAAAAGACATTGAATTGTGTATGATTTTGTACTTGTGAATACGAAACTGTCAATATCACTGCTCACAGACATTACCAATCGAGCCTGCGCAGGGTTGATCATGGCAGAGGGCATCTAGAAACGTTTTTTTAGGCAGTGTTTAGTTAACGCTAGCTTCAATGCTAGTTTTACAGCTTACCATGTTCCTTTAAAACCAACATGTTACATTCTTAGCATTTACATTTGATGAAGCCTTTGTCCCGAATCAATGTGGTTAATGTGTTAATACCAGCCCCAACTAGGGTTGCCAACTTGAAAACAAAAAAATAAGGGACACCATTTGGTGGATCGGGTTGAGCACTTTTTTTTTTTCCAATTATTTTTATTGAAGACACAAGTAATAAAATACAATGCAGTGTCAAATACAATGTTACAATGTCTTTTTTTTTTTTTTCCTTTTGCTTGATACAATAATGATACAAAGTTACACAAATGCAGAATAACACCTATTATAATCCGTTTTTATAATAGTTGAACACAAAAGGAACAAGAACAAAAACAAACCCGCCCCGTCTCAGCTTATCAATCATGGCATCAAATATTTTATGGTACAAAACAATTGTATAGTTCCAAACATAATAGGCTATTACACATATGTCCTGGTGTCCTGGCCAGGGAGCGGCATAGATTCAATCTGGTAGAGCACGCAGATCAGAAAAATAACTAATAAAGCATTGCCATACCTGGAAAAATTTGTCAGTGTGTCCTCTTAAAGTGTATTTTATCTTTTCAAGTTTTAGGAAACCCATGACATCTTTTAGCCATTGGGAAAAAGGGGGACATTTTGCAGATTTC